GATTTGAACTCCTCTTCCTCGTTGGCCTGCTCCTCTTCTTCCATGGCCAGCTCTTCTCCCTCCTCTGACTCGAATTCCTCTTCCTCTGACTCTGCCTTCATCCATTGTGTTTGTTTGGAATCTTCAGCAAACTGTGCACTCTGAACTTGCTTTTGTACATGTGGTCACAGCATTAGCAACAAGTGTCTTCAATTTGGAGTCGTTGTGTGTAATGAATGACGCCAGGTGTGTTCATTGTGTTCAAATATTGCTGACTGTGGCAAGCATTTTGCACCACATGAGCTTTCATTTGAGAATATGAGCAGAGTTCTTTTGCAACTTGTGTTTTAGCAAAGAAAAATGTGTTAAGATTTATGAGAACGGAGGATTGTGTTTTGTGAATTGTGTCTTCATGTGAAATGTGTTTATGATATTGGAAAATGATGGCTAGATTTAGTAAATGTGTTTAGACAACTGGTCATTTGGTTTAGAGGATTGGCTTTTGTGTTTTAGCATTTGAGAAAAACTGTAATGTAGATTCTTCTATGTTAGTATTTTCTCAAAGGGGGTTCACTACAATTTTTTTTGTGATAGTCTTAACAAATTGATTATTACTGTGCAGTGGTGGAACAACATAGCTCCGGGCCCAGGTGCAGACCATACTACCAGGCCCTCATGCCATAATTCAACTCCTTTAAAAGGACAACAAACAATAGACTCCTAAAAAAATTACACTTCACCTCACTAAGTCTGCACATTTCTGAACATCACCTAATGTGAACACACACAAAACTGCATCACTAACTTGCTCATCAGCAGATAGAAACCAGTGACTGTACTCACAACATTCTGCTGGTCTGGTGCTATGGAATATTCTCCATCATCAGTCTTGGTCAAATTTCTTGGCTTCTAAAATGGAAAAGTCCAGTGTACAGTTCCATGGTAATGAAGGAGGGACCACTGGTCTGCTAACCAGGGCGTCTTCTGTTTTTTTAGCTAATGTTAGGTCATCTTTGCCCACGGTTGTTGACAAACCAAAAAAAGAATACAGTTGCTTAAGTTTTGAAATGTAACTACACTTTCAACTAAACTAAACTTTCAAATCTTGGTTCTCCTTTCTCTTTGAGCACCACACTTGCCTTTGTATGTCTGTGGCATTTTGAATGAATGCACGATGCTTTTTTTCTGAAGCTAGCTGAGGTTCTACAGTAATAAATGCTGGGAGGGTGTGTTTGATTTACGTAACGTTGCAGGCTCCGTGGGTGGTGTAAATGCAACTATAACATATGAGAAGGTAAAATAATGATAACGTTAATGGTAGCATGTAATTACTTCTTCAACTGACTTGGTATTGCTGTACATTGTTGATGTACATTATCTGAATATTGATGTTGTCCTGGGGGCCCACCGGTGCAGTCACACCACTGTGTTATTTTCACCGCTTCACACCTACTATCAAATGTGAGAAAAGCAACAAATTAACTTCACAGGTTTTGAACCGTCACCACATTTTGTTCCATTGTCAATACCACATCACCTCCACATTATGCTCAGCCCTATGTCCTTGTCTTTAAAAACAGAAAGGACTGATACTGATGCTCAGTCAAATTCATGCATGCAGCATGAACACGCAAAGCAAAGGTGAGGCTACAAAGATTTTCTCATTTTGAAATATTCTTGAACTTTATTTCAAAATGTTTGACTTTCAGTGGGCTTTTGAATAGTAATACTGCTACTTACTACTAATATTAATAATTATATAACAATTAGAATGGTACAAAATAATTTTTTTAAAAGGCAAAATGTGAAATTCACAGGTAACCACTGAAGCACAGCACAGAAAGGTATGGTGTGGTTGCTTCTCTAACTATGTGTGAAAATCCTGTATAAATTATAGTCTTAAGATGGTGAGACCAGGATATTTTTATTATAAAGTTGCGCATAAAAATTACGTGCCACAGTGGTACCAAAAGTCAGTCCAAAGGGACGCTGGATGCTGTTGAAAATGTATTAGTATTTTCCAGGGTTGACAGAAAGATGCTGCTATTAAGTGAACATACTGTTATGCTTAATTTATTTAGCATGTGGTAGAAAGTGTTCAAGGCGACTTCATGGAATTCTATTTTAGTCTGTTAGACCTGACCACTGGGCAGCTTGTGCTACAGTAATGAACTGCTTCACTTGCTCATGTTTGTTCAACTAAGATGTTTCTTTTCCAGGATAAACCATCAGTCTGCATCACATTGCATCCAACTTAAGAAAATGTTCCTGTTGAATATTTGCATCTGTGCTGGTCTCATGCTGTCCCTACCACCATGTACATATCAGTCATGCACAGAAGGGACACCCAGACAGTGCCTAGAGGCAGAATTTGCTCCAGGTTCTGATTTGGCCGGGGAAGGCTTTGATATCACCAGAATGGAACGTAAGGGGGCCTTCGTGATCGACATGAATCAGTGGAAACGCAAGGACAAAAGATGCACCCTATGTAGCAACCCTTATCTGGAGAACAAAAAGCAAAAGCTCCCTTTGTCCGTTGTGGACTGGAGGCCAAAGCAGTCCTGCAGCATGAAAATAGCCAGTAAACTCCACCGATCCAGTGAGTCTCTAGTCAGTTCCAGCTCCTTTGCAGTTGAAAACAACTGGAAGGTCAATCTAGATCTTAAAGTAGGGAATAAAGGTGCCTCTTTTATGTTCGCTGGTACCCACTCTAAACTGGCTGATTATTCCATGGGAAAAACAAAGGATGACAAATTCAGCTTCACAACTCAAAGCATGTTCTGTGAGTACTACAGGTAAGAAGATAAAGAGTTAGATGAAACTTGTCTTCACATATCCAGCTACTTGTGAAAATAAGTGTAACACTGTTATACACCTGTTTCATACTGATCTGCCTTCTGTCTTGTCTGGTTTCTCACTGTGAACAGCTATCGAGTGTCCAACACTCCAAAGCTGCATAAAGAGTTTTTAATAGCGGTTAACAAGCTCCCCAAAATCTACAGCCCAGATTACAAGCAACGATATTACAAACTGATTGACAACTTCGGAACCCATTACATCACAAAGGTGAATGAATAGAAAAAGCAACTTCATCAAAAAAAAAAAATAATATATATATATATAAACACACATATACTGAAAAAAATGTAGAAAGTAACACATGTATCATATAATTCCAGGTGAAGCTGGGAGGAAGTGTTCAATCAGTGACCAGCATCAGGCAGTGCCAGGCCAGCCTGCAGGGCCTCAGCTCGGAGGAGGTGCAGATGTGCCTGGAAGCTGAGGCATCCGTCAGCATCAAAGCCACAGTAAAAGCTGAAACAAAGCACTGCAAGAAGGACATTGAGAAGACTGAAAGTAAGACATCCTTCTCCAGCCTCTTCAATGACAGGTAAAGAATATTCTTCTCATTCAATTATCACATTTTCTACTTATTTGTGCTACTTAATGACTAGTTTTTGCTGCAGAAAAGCTCATGTGGCTCAGCTGTTGAAGCATCTCTCTTTTCTACAGGTTCACAGAAATAAAGGGGGGCCACACCCCAGAGCCAGATCTTCTATTCTCTGCTGACAAAAATCCATCAGCCTACAAGGAGTGGATGAACACACTGCCACAGAATCCAGACGTGGTCTCATATTCACTGGACTCGCTGCATGAATTACTGCCTGTAAATACCTCTGTCAGGAAGAACATGCGCTTGGCCATCAGCCATTACATCCTGGAAAAAGGCCTGTGGAAGAACTGTAGTGAGCCCTGTCAGGCCGGCATCAAGAGCGACTCCAGAGATTCCTGCGTCTGCCAATGCCACAATGACCCTGCTGTAAACCAAGACTGCTGCCCAACGCGCAAGGGCATGGCACGGGTCATCGTAACTGTACAACGGGCCGAGGGACTGTGGGGAGACTACTTCACATCCACAGATGGTTATGTAAAAGTGTTTTTCAACGGACTGATGGTCCAGCGTTCCCCTGTCATTTACAACAACAACAACCCACGCTGGGCTGTGGTTGTCGACCTTGGCCCTCGGGATGTGTCCTCAGGACAAAGAGTGAAATTTGAAGTGTGGGATCAGGACAACAACTGGGACGACGACCTGTTGGGACAGTGTGAGCGAGTTGTGTCTGCTGGAGTTAAGGAGGATCTCTGTGCTCTGCACCATGGCCGGCTGTTCTACAAATGGGAGGTGAAATGTGCTCCGAGTCTGAGTGGAAGTTCCTGCATGGACTATAAACCTTCACCTATGAGTCAAAGTCTGAAGAAGCTGTATGTGTCCCGTCATGCTCACCCTGTCCCAAAGGCTATGCTGAGAGAGATGGGTGTGTTTGTGGATGAGCCGAATCCATGGAGAAACCAGTCTTACTACAGAGATTCAAAATATGATATACTGTAACACCCATGCTTGCCTGTAATGAGGCTAATGTTCAAGGCATTAGCATCATTTTACAACATTCATGAGGTTAATCTAAGTGAAAGTTATTATCTACAGTGACGTGCGGTCAGGGGAGGCAGGTGAGGCAGAGCCTCCCTTGTCAATCTTGAAAAGAAAAAAAAGTTAAACATAAAATATAATAAATGTTAATATTTGTCGGCTGGTGTGTGTTGTAGGCCCTTTTGCCGTTCGAATCAAATCTGGACTTTCAATCAAAACATTTTAGACAGTCTGGACATTTTTGTCCAGAAGGATCTTCTTTATTGAAAACATTTGTTTTAATATTGGATTCGAACGGTAAAAGGGTTTGTAATACATACCAGCTGACAAATGGATTTTGTGTACAAGTTAGCGCTTTGAGTGTGCTGTAAAGCATAGAAAGGCGCTATACAAATATAAGACCATTTAAGACCATAAAGGTAAGACCATAAACCTTTATTAGTTCTAGTTAGAAATAAGCTCAACTGGAATAAATTTTAACCTCAAATTAAATATGGGTCACGTTTGTGTGAAGAATGCTGATATGAGATATAAAACATAACGCATTGTCTGTTAACAGACAATTTGTTAACGGTTCATTTGTATTTGAACCTCTGACAGTAAAAGAGTGAGTGCCTCACCAGCTGTCAACCTCACCGCACGTCACTGATTATCTATCACTCTTATCCCACATTAAATCTCTAGTGACAACAAAAAATCAGAAATACATCTGTTAGAAAATAACTGACAAAGTGCAAATCAATATTAGGAAAACATCCCTGATATCTTGTGTGTTCAAGCTTTCTTATACAGTATTACCCAAAAGTAAAATTAGAACTTGTTTGAGACTGTTAATACATGCTATACAGAAAAAGCAGTTTCATATCATGCCATTTTCATCATACAGTGCTCACTATCCTGCCGACACTGGCATGGTTGTCCACAGAGAATATGTTCTTGATCATCTTAAAGTTTCTGCAGTCGTGGAAATGTAAGTTTGATTCAGTGTGGCTTTTACTTACATCCTTATTTTTGCAGTATTTTTAATGTTTTTTCCTCTTTGCATTTTCAGCATTTTATTGCTTCTATAGCTACAAGCATCTATAATGTGCACTAGTGTGTTTTATGCCAGGTTCAAGTTATGCAATTTAAACCTGATAACAGCTCAACCCAACAGTTGTAGGGCATCGGACATGACAATCGATCTGGAACACTTCGTGACATGCTGAAACAAAATCATAAAATTGCCTTGTAGATTTTTTACAAAATTTAACTTCCATTTCTAAAGAGGGTGAGATGAGCGAAGGTTAGCAGTGTTTTATATTTGGACCAGTCCATTGATGAAGAGTGTATATGTTTAAAATGTTTCATATTTTAGTTAGTGCTTCTCCATAATGCATTGCTGTTTAATACAGCATTCATGCTGATTTAAGTTTTTTAATACATGAGTCCATGTATTTTAGTTTTAATTTGTTGTTATTATTACCTTGTTTGTAATTGTAATGCCTTCTTCTCTATGAATTTCTACATGAATTGCTTTTATTGAGTATTCAAAAATAAATGTTTTTTTAACATGGTAAAATACTCACACATTCATACTGAAGCATTTCTTGCTGAAGCCATCACCTTTGGTACCTACTTCTCCCACAGGACTCACTTAAGTTTTATCACAGCTCATCATACATAACTACTTCGTGTTTGTGATATACTTAGGAAACTGTTCATTTGTGTGTGACGGTCACCTGTTCTCAGCCAGTAGCTATGGCCAAAGGCCACCACCACTTCAGAGAAATGATGGCTTTGTGGTCTTTTGTTCACTACTGACTGGAAAGGCAGCCTAACTTTGATGCTGCAACTGTCTCTTTGAATATGTCTATAGACCACCAGCTCCTCCTCCTCAGTACTGGATCTACTCAGCATGTCAAACCACATTTTCCACTGCGCTCTTGAAGACCACTGTCACCTCACACTCACCGCCATCTGCATCTCTCTTTTGACTATTAAATACAAAGCACTGACGTTCGTGCTCACAGTTTCACATATGCAGCATGAACAAGGCAAGACAAGGGTGAGTCTATGCCAAACTGCTCGCAGTATTCTTTAACTTTATTTGAATATACCTAACCATATGTGGGTTTTTAAATATGTTAAGATATTAAAACAAACTTTTAAAAGGGTTAATGAATTGGAAAGACCTGACAGTAAGGTAAAATACTCCTCATTCTCATGTTTTATGATCTTTAAATTGTGACTAAGTAAAACTGAAAGGAGCAGTTCATTTGAAGATCTAAGAAATCTTAAATTGGATTATAGAGATTTGAGATACACACTTGTGCCAATCCAAGCAGTGCTTCAAAGCAATAAAAAAAAACTCTCGATACAATTGCTATATTTCACTGGTCTCTCTTCTTGGTACAAGTCACAGGAGAGACAAAGATGACTGACTGACACAAAAAGAATGTTACAGTAGTCAAGATGTGAGGAGATTAAACTTTTAAAGCAGTCTCCTGATCCCTAAAAGACAGATAAGGTTTTATTTTTGAATTAGCTCTAGTTTGGAAAAAGCTACTGTACTGTAAATTACAAACTTTGTCAAAATTTAAACCAGATTCAAAATGACACCTTGTCTAGTTAAACCAATGGTGGAAACTGGGAGGCTTAAAATGAGGTGTTTTGACTTTTATGAGAATTTTATATGATTCTCATTTAGGTGGAGAAAGTTTCCGGCCATCTAGTGCTTGACATCCTTTAGGCAATTAAGAAGAGATTTAAAGGTGCCCTGTCAAGTTTTATTGAATACAAACAGCATGGAGCATATGCAAACAAATGTTAGGTTTATATGAAGTTCTTTTTTTCATCAAAATGTCTTTGAGTCAAACAAATGTGTTGACTGTATTTCCTTCCTCATAAAACATGCAAAAACCAATGGGATGGGATGTTTCCTAAAAGCAGACCAAAGTACAACAAAATAAAAGAGGTCCTCCAAAAGAGCCTTGAGGTACACCACAAGAGACAAAAATAAAGGGAGGCAAAAAGTTACTATTCAAAAATGAAACCAATCTATAGACTCAAATAGAAAGTATGACTACAATTGAAAGACCCCAAAAAACAGAACGGTAAACATTATTAAAAGCAGCAGAAAGGTCTAAAGGAATTCAAATTATTCCCTGAGTCAAAAGAAAAGCTTCTACCAAGATGTCACATAAAAAAATCACAATTTTGAGATTGGCTGATGTATATTGCTGATATTTGAAGGAGGATGGGAGATAACAGTTTACTAAAGAGATGTTTATTACTGCATATAATACCAGGCCAGAAAATGTCAGACACTTCTTTACAAAGAAGTGACAGAGTTACTTCTCATCCCGCGAGCAACTTGATGTAGTAAGAAACTTCTTAACTTGCTTATTTATTCAACTTTTTTCCAGGATAAACCATCAGTCTGCATCACATTGCATCCAACTTAAGAAAATGTTCCTGTTGAATATTTGCATCTGTGCTGGTCTCATGCTGTCCCTACCACCATGTACATATCAGTCATGCACAGAAGGGACACCCAGACAGTGCCTAGAGGCAGAATTTGCTCCAGGTTCTGATTTGGCCGGGGAAGGCTTTGATATCACCAGAATGGAACGTAAGGGGGCCTTCGTGATCGACATGAATCAGTGGAAACGCAAGGACAAAAGATGCACCCTATGTAGCAACCCTTATCTGGAGAACAAAAAGCAAAAGCTCCCTTTGTCCGTTGTGGACTGGAGGCCAAAGCAGTCCTGCAGCATGAAAATAGCCAGTAAACTCCACCGATCCAGTGAGTCTCTAGTCAGTTCCAGCAATGCTGAAGTTGAAAACAACTGGAAGGTCAATCTAGATGTTGATGTGAAAGAAAAAGGTGGCTCATTGATGCTTGGTGGTACCCACTCTAAACTGGCTGAATATTCCATGGAGAAAACAAGGAATGACAGGTTCAGCTTCACAACTCAAAGCATGTTCTGTGAGTACTACAGGTAAGAAGATAAAGAGTTAGATGAAACTTGTCTTCACATATCCAGCTACTTGTGAAAATAAGTGTAACACTGTTATACACCTGTTTCATACTGATCTGCCTTCTGTCTTGTCTGGTTTCTCACTGTGAACAGCTATCGAGTGTCCAACACTCCAAAGCTGCATAAAGAGTTTTTAATAGCGGTTAACAAGCTCCCCAAAATCTACAGCCCAGATTACAAGCAACGATATTACAAACTGATTGACAACTTCGGAACCCATTACATCACAAAGGTGAATGAATAGAAAAAAAAACTTCATCAAA